AAAGTCGGGAGAAGAGCGGAGAAAGACCTGCAGCGAACGGCCGTGGAGTCGATCCTACGGCCGCTGCATCGGGGACTATAGCCCCTGTTTGTCTTATCCGGTTGAGCTACTGGAGCGCTCTGAGCTTTGCTACTTTTTGATATCTTACTTAGGATCACATCTGCACCGATCTGCTATGTGTTTGCAGAAATCTCCCCAAGCTGATTCCAGGTCTGATTATTCGACGGTGATTCTTTGTCTCTGACTGTTCAGGTGACGCAACCAGATGTGTTTCTGGTTCGACGAGGCCTCTGCTGGCTTCATCCAGCTGTGCTCCATCTGCTTTGTCACTTCCTTCAAGGCACAAACCTCAGGCTTATCTGCATCAAACCTCTTTAAGTTGGTGTGCAGGCACCGAGGCATGGCGCTCAGGTGAACTGACATCACGCCTCAAACATTTTCTCGTCTTCGTTGCTCACCGTATCAGGCTCTTTCTGTTACTTGTTTGCTACTTTGAATTGGTTGTCGATGACCAGTGTCAGTGCTGGCGTCAGCACAGGGTGCATCTGTGCTAGATGTTTGTGTGGAAACAGAAGTTTTAGTCAGAAAACATGCAACAACTGTGACTATATTCACACTTTGATAGTTTTTAGTTGCACAGTTGACCTTCAACAAGCAGCTCCTTCTCTTTTTGTGCTTTAACAAGCAGCTTCTTCTCTTTTTTTGCCATCCAGAATGCAGAGTTGTCCTGGACGAATAAACAAAGAAGGAAATGAATAAGTAGCTTGACCTTCAACATACAGGGTGAAGTGAAATAGGGAAATAAAAACACCTGTTGCATCTCTTTCATATCATCACAGTTTATTTATTGCTCCCGGCAGGGTCATCTCTAACAGTCATCCCGATGTAAGTAAAATAAAATGACAATTGTGATATTTTTCCTATTAAAAAGTTAAACTAAAAGTGGAGGACAGTTAGCAACAGGACGGTTTCTCCCAGTATGACTCCTGTTGCTAACTGTCCTCCTAATGTCTCAACTATATATAGGCTGAAATGAGAATCCAATTTTTGTCTCCAGAGATATAGAAGAGCTTTGAACAGTAAGATTTATTCCTCTGGGATTCCTTCTTCATGAAACCATGAAACTGATCCACTGATTATTCATTTGATCAAAAAGCAACCAAAAAATCTTGTTTTTTCTCCAGATCATCTGTGTTGGCAGGTTGCAGGACTTGTTGATATCAGAAGTGGTGAAGCTGTTAGTGCCTTAGAATGCTCAACTAATTTAAGACTTTGTGCCTAATTGTGAGCTTTAATCATGCAGTTTTTCGTTATTATTGTCATTATGATGCATATTTATCATTTGGTTTTGTGTCAATGGAATTGATTGATTGTTTAAAGCTTTCACTAATAATCATTAGTGTGAAAATGGGTTAAAGTTTGCATTCTGAGTCCAGTTTATTCACCTCTACACTGTATATTCACATTTTTATTTTCTCAGAACAATGCTCATTTTACATTTTATGCTTATTTTTATGTTTATATTTTTAGGACATTTTTTTCGACTTATGTTAATCTTATATACTTTAATGTAAGCAGTGTCCCCACAGGGAGCAGTGAAGTATTTCTGATTCACATTACATCATCCCTTTTAATATCTGGAGCAAGATTTTTATCACGTCTCCTGGATTCGTTCTGCGGTTGTCTGTAGATCAATCAGAGGTGAGATGACGGTGGAGATACTGTGAGGTGTGCTGCGATCAGTGAGCTTTTCCTGCCCTAGATGTCCATTAGTTGACTGTGCCTGTGTGATGGTAAACAGAGCGGCAGCCAGCATGGCCCTGTGCTGCCCAGAACTGCCACAACCCTAAATCCCCCCTCCCTATCCCTTAAGCAGTGAGCTGACCATCTGTTCGAGACGCCGGGACCTAACTCGATGCTCAAAACACACAAACACACACACAGTTCAGTCGCACAAGCAAAAAAAAAAAAAATCACACATACATTCATGGCTGTCAGTGAATCCCTGCTGTGGCTGCACACATGTATGAATTCAGTGTTATCTGGTCAGATCTGGTGCTGTGTGTGAGGTTAAACAGGGTCATGTGTGTTTTTCTAGTGTCTCCTATGGGTGTGTTGCTGTATTTGCCTTGTGTGCATGTGTTCTCATGGCACAGTTGCCGAGGTGACACATGGCAGGTTGGATACGGGGCAGCAGGAAATAGCCAGACATGGTGCCGGAGTCCTTTGCACTCGTCCGTGTGCAGCAGCTATATGCGTCCCTGTTCCATTTCCTGTTTTCACTCTATTTTCTGCTGTTTTCAAGCCGCTCACACAGAATGGTAGTTGGTGAAAAACTTCTTCCTCATGGTGCTGAAGAAAAATTTAAACCACAGCGCTGCCTGTAAAGACAAAGAGGAGTAACGGCACGGAGTCGGTTAATAAGACATATCCATGATGTTGGTTTCAGTATACTTTTCCGTTATTATTATCAGCTTTAACCCTAAGAAAATACTTATTTAGATGGACTGTAAGTATAGATGCTCTGTAGTCACACTGAATAAAATCTAAGACTAATTTCTGCACAAATCTAAGCTCTGCAGACACCAGATTGAAATTCTTCTTCACACTGAAGAAGTGTCACAGTGGATCGTTTGTTTTTCCTCTACCTGCATGGAAAAGCTACGACTGATAGCAACAAGTCAAAGCTCATTCCTCTGTGCTTTGAAAGTCAGTATGTGAAGCAAAAGATGAAAGATGCACTGAAGGAAAGCAGGTACAACATAGTGATAAATTACAGCACATCACATAGCAACTCCTGGAATGTTCTCAACATTTCAGTGTGATGATGCACAAGACCGTGAAGCTGTCTGGGTTAGACGAAATGCCATGACTGCTTTAATGCAGGCTTCAACTGTGGCGAACTCTCTATAGAACGTATATATAAACACCTAAAAGGGCCTTTTATGTTTGAGCTGCATCAGCATTTAAAGCATTCACTAATAGCTGGAGGCTGCACAATAACCTACAGTCCAGTTACTCACCTGCTGTGGCTTTTTATGTGCATCGTGGATCCTAAATCACACCTTTATTTCCTGCTGTGCTCATCATTGTGTTAAGAGGTGATGATGGCCAATAGCAGAATTCTGTATGAACTGTGTGAAAATACCTCGAAACTATCTTGGGATTTATTTAGACATCAAGTTCCTGATCTGTCCAAAACCTGAAGATAGCAGAGTCATTTCACCTCAACTCACCAAATGCCCCATGCCTGACCTTCTTCAATTTGACTTTTTTTTTTTTCTTTTTTTTTTTTTTTTTTAAAGCTGTTGAAAATTGATTGAGTGGACCATGTGTAAAATCTGGGGTCATAGGTAAAATTCTCAGAGGGTGGGGTCATGTCGATTTTTGTGTGTTTTTTCTCTCTCGCACCAATCTGTGGATCAATGTTTGACTGGAGAACTAATGTAGTAAGAGTAGTAGGATTATTGATATGTACAATGATGGATGAAGTCTGCCTCTGACTAGCACCATACTTTTTAAAGCTCATATTGGTAACGATCACATGAGGAAAAAATCTGCCTCTTGGGGTGAAACATTAAGGTTTTGTGGTTGGTGGAATATTGGAATGGAAAAAAAAAGTTTGACCAAAATTTGCACCATCATTAAACTGGTTTGTAATATTCTGTCACAGCAGGGTTGTACCATTGGAGACCACATGTAGATATAAATGAGCCTGCAAAATTCAGGACTTTAGCTACTTTACTTCTCAAGTTATTGCACTTCAAACATTCACAGATTGGTGCAAAGAAAACATCAACTTGACCCCGTGTTCTTTAAGAATTTTGAGCTCAAAAACTATTGTCATGTATGAGCCCATATTTTACACGTGTTCAACCGAACAACATGCACAGACAATAAATCAGACAAATATGAATTCATCAGGCGTGATCTTTTTTTAAAAAATTGGTGAACTGAGGTGGAATGACCCAGCACAGAGTGTTCTTAGTCAACAGCTCGATAATTTAGTCCATCTTTCTCTTCCTCTCTGTCTTTCTGTGGCCTCCACTCTCCCCATGATGTCCCTCTGCAGTGTATTAAAGAGCAAACTTGTGAATGGCGTGATTGTGTATTGAGCACAGAGGATGGCAGCTGCTGAACTCGGGGTTGGCCAGAGCTTATGTGTGCGCTCGGCAGCGTGCATGTGTGTTAATGGTAATCCTGTAGATCCAGATGACTTATCCCTTATCTTTTATGAGTGTGCATGTCGGACTCCAGCAAAATAATTTGGCCTCCGCAGCAGATTACGTAACAGCACATGAGGTCTGCGTGTCATAATCTGACAAATTTCGTAATCTGGTAGATTGACAGAGAGCTGGGCTGAAAAGGCTGCTATTAGATCAGTTTGATGGCTGGTAGACGTTCTATTCATACGTAGTAGTATCGCATTAAAGATATTATAGCTGAAATAATTAGATTATCAATTACTTAATGAGCTGAAGATTAATCTGTAACTGTTTTGACTGTAGAGTCTTCATTTAAATAAATTTCCAAGCAGAAATACATGAGTTATGTGATAGTAAATCACAGTTTTTAAAAGGTTTTTGGACTCTTGGTGGAAAAAATAAGATGTGGAAACTTTTTTTTTTTGTAAATCTTAATAATTAGTCACTGCTGTCTGACATCTTTTACGACATCATTAATTGGAAAAAGCAATTTAATAATGAAAGTAATTGCACCATCAACAGGTGTACAGTTTATTTCCTGCTTGTATATTTTTTAAAAAAGGTTTAGGGATAGAGATATGAGGTCAGTTTTCAAGCAAAATACATTGACCTATGTGATAGTGAATCAGTGTTTTTTGTTGGCAGGTATACTTTAGTCCCTGCTTCAATTTCTAAAAAACTTCTTTAATTTTGATTTAACTTTGGTTTAAGTTAGGTTTTATCTTGTCTGTCATCTGGACTATTGTTAATCTGCAGCATATTGATCTGTCTTTCTGTCATCTTTCTCCTTTGCAGTGGTAATGTCTTGAACTGGTGGCCCCTCCAGCCCAGTGAAGGACGTGCCAGTGCCGGGCCGCTGCTAATGGGAACTCCTGCTCCGCCATGAGCTCTCGTGATGGCGTTGGCGGTGTCGGTGGAATGGGCACGCTGGGCCGGCGGCAGCGCTTCGAGAACTCAGAGTTCACCGTGCGCATCTACCCGGGCGCTCTGGCCGAGGGCACCATCTACTGCCCCATCAGCGCCCGCAAGACCACCACAGCCGCTGAAGCCATTGAACGCGTCATTGAACGGCTGCAGCTGGACCGCACCAAGTGTTATGTTCTGGCCGAGGTGAAGGAATTCGGTGGGGAGGAATGGATCCTCAACCCCTGCGACTGTCCCGTGCAGAGGATGATGCTCTGGCCTCGAGTGGCGTTGGAGCACCGGCCGCTCTCCGGCGGCGAGGATTACCGTTTCCTCCTCAGGCAGAAGAACCTGGACGGCTCAATCCACTATGGCGGCAGCCTCCACATGTGGCTGCAGGTCACGGAAGAGCGCCGGCGAATGGTGGAGCGAGGACTGCTGCCACAGCCTGAATCTCAGGGTGACCACGCAGATCTGTGCTGCCTGCCGGAGCTCAACGAGCGCTCGCTGCTGGACAACCTGCGCTCGCGCTTCCGCCAGGAGAAGATCTACACTTACGTGGGAAGCATCCTCATCGTCATTAATCCCTTCAAGTTCCTGCCCATCTACAACCCCAAGTATGTGAAGATGTATGATAATCATACGCTGGGAGATCTGGAGCCGCATATTTACGCCGTGGCAGATGTCGCTTACCACGCCATGCTGCAGAGACAGAGGAACCAGTGCATAGTTATATCTGGGGAGAGCGGCTCTGGGAAGACGCAGAGCACGAACTTCCTCATTCATCATCTGACCGCTCTCAGTCAGAAGGGTTTCGCCAGCGGAGTGGAGCAGATAATCTTGGGGGCCGGGCCAGTATTAGAGGTAAGCAACGCCACCACCGCTCTGGTTTTAGGGAAAAAGAATTTGCAAATGTGAGGTTACAATAGTGACAACTTTAGACTCGACTCCTAGAAGACTTGAGACTTGAGACTTGAAACCAAAAACACAAGTACTGATTCTGTAAATCTTGAAACAATCATAAAACAACAATACCATGACAAGCAGGTTTTTTAGAACTTGCATGTTATGAGTTGTGGTTTGATTTAGACTCATCCTTAAGGACTTGATCTGGATTAATGAAGTCTGGAGCACATGTTTGTGATTGACGCCATCAAAAGACAAGCTCAATTTTGAAACCCTAGTTTGCTGTACCTTATTAAAGAACTCCTATTGTATGAAAAACATCTGCTCCGGACCTTATCGCTCCAGTTAGCTTTCAGACTCAAATGCATGGGGATTAACTTTACTTGAATTTGCTCCAAAAAAACTTGACAGTTGTTGCTTATAATGCCGCCTGGTTTGCAGTATTTGTTTGAGGAAACAGCTGTGGATATCCTGGTTACACCAATGTATTTGGGCAGATGTTCAATGAGGGTTTGTTCTTTCTGCGGTCATAGTTTCTACAGTTTGCCTGTATACTTGTATTAATTCCACCACTCTACATGACGTTGGGACTTTCTGTGTGGCTTCTCACATCAGTTACACAACACCACTTTGCCACAACTGTCTCTTGTTGGCCTTGAGTTGTATCTGCCCTCATACAGAGGTTTATTGCACTTCAGTCCAGCTGTGGTGGGGATTATATCGTGCACAGAGGAGCTCTATCTGCAAGCAGCCAGTAGCCTATCAGTGGCACAGTTGTAGATTTCTGTGATTTTTTTCTTTTCTTTTTTTTCCCCTGCACAGTGGAAAGATTGTCTCAAGGTAGACGTTGTAGAGGCCCAGTGGAAGATTGTGAGGGAAGCTGGTTGTTTTCATATCACTCAAGACATTCCTCTCATATTCCTTTTTCTTCTTTAGGGACCTGTCACTTTAATACGCACTAGTCAATAGTGTTTGACAAGCTCACAACCGCACATTGTTTTCTCATTTGTCAACATCAAGTGAATTCCTGAAGCTTGCACAACACCCTTCAGCTGTATGCACAACGCTGCATACAGTCAGGAAGGCAAACATAGGTTGCATATTGTCAAGAGTGCCGCTGCATTTTAATAGAAACTTGGTATCACCCGCTGTCACGTCATCCCACCACAGAAATCCATACAAGTCCTCTGGTATTTCTTCATCTGGTTATAACAAGCCGAGAGGGGAAGAACTCAAGACTGTGCGAATGTGTTAAATCAACCTAAGAATTTAAAATATCTTAAGTTTATGACCACTCCATAGGCAGGGGTGTTGTTAAATGTCATTTTCCACATGCTAATTTATTCTCCCTGGTTCTCACTTTGTAAGCAAATATGAAAAGTTTTCATGGCATCAATGTAGCGTTGAAAATGGCACCAAGTTCAAAGGTAGCCAGCGAGACAACAAGTAGCTCCACACTGTGCTTTATTGTCCTCGGTTTAGCAAACACGGTTCCCAGGAATGCCATTCATCTGGGTGTCTCCGGGGTTAATGTGCAGGCACATAGAGTTAATCCTCAACACGGCAACACGAGTGAGTAGTTTTGAGTGCAGGGGAGCAGCCCTTAATTGTTTGCACAGTAAGATTGCATATCTGCCCGCCGGTGATTGATGCCAAGAGTGGAGCTGTTGGTGCTACTGCAGAGAGATACAAGGGAGGAGACGGAGGAACAGCAGCCGAAGTTACCTCATAGGAATCATTCATCTTCATTTGGGCAAAGCTTTTCATTCAGGAAAGTCGACCAGCAGCACAGGAGGAAAGACGATCACCAGTTTAATATGTCCTATGGATGTTTTTGTGCCCTTCTTTAATGGTGCCTTCTGGTCTTCGCAGAATATCGTAAACGGCAAGAAGTGTAGTATCCATGCTACAGTGATGATCTCTGGTGGAGTTAATGTTCTATCGACTTAATGTAAAGAGCCTTGAACCTCAACTTGACTCTAACTTAACATGGACCATTGGTTTCAGGAGCTTCAGAGTCTGTTTGCAGGTCTTTAAAAGTGCTGCCTCATCCCCATTTATGGCCACAAACCTAAAACACACCTGAATGAATGAGTTGCATTGAGTGTAGTTTAGCTACCAAGAGAGTTACAGAAATGCATTTAAGTTGATGTTTGAACAATTAGAACCCAATAATTTAAGTAATTTAGATTGATGTAGGTGGTTCAAAAGCAGTTTTTGCACTACGTACAGGTGTTGTGCGACTTAAGCTCTTCACCTGATTTCATAGATATTATTAAGTTGTGAGACAGGCATCTTTGCCACATGTCCTTTATTCACTCTTAAGTTCATAACAATCATTTTTTAACAGTTCTAAACAACCAGTACATAAAATAGGCTTTAGAGTTATTTTAATTTCAGGAACTGCTGTTTTTAGTAATCATGTTAGAAGATCCAGGATCACTGCATGGCTTTGACAAATCACAATTAAGAGTCAAAAGTTAAGAAGGAAAAAACATCAAGCAGTCAATCGGAAACATTTCACTTTTTTATGAATTACAGTTTAATGACAGCGGTTGAGGGTATTGTGTAGGAAGAAACAAAAGTCCAAAAGAGTTTATTCTAATAAATATACACTGGAAAAAAAGCTATCATTGGAATTTTTGGTCAGTTTTGTGGTTTAGAGTGCAGATGTGTTTAATTACATTTTCATACTTTTGGTCACTAAACTAATACACTTGACTAAACATCATGAGATAAAGCAGACGACATGTGCAGAATAACACCCAACACTCCAAGTTTTGAGGACAAGTCAATGTTTACACCCAGGAACCACACAGTAAGAATATGTTGTGTTTGCCACAGAGCGCCTTCTTCAGCGGCAGTGAGTTTATTTCACTTCAGGAGAAATAAAATATATTCACTTTCGTTCCCACTTCAATAGTTCCTGAGTCAGGTTCGTTTCAAAGAGCAGGACGGTGTTGAGGCATCACACTCAAGTGTACAATACTGTAGCGAAGCAAAGCAAACAGACATTTTCTCCTGACTGTCAGTCGAAGGGCAAACACACCCCGAGGCCTCAAGTGCACAGAGAGACAGTTTTTTTTTTTTTTCTAACCTCACGATGGAGGATATCACTTACAAAAAGGGTTCGGTCTGGAAACCAGCCAACAGCTGCAGTTATGTGTTAAGATCCTGACAAGCCCCATCGCTCAAGTGTTTCAATTAATAAAACTCAGAAGGAGATGAAAACGTACTGTGTAAAGGCCTGTTGAGCCTGTTAGATAAACAGAGCGAGGTTTTTTTTTTTTTTTTTGAGAACATAGTTATTATTTAAAATGAAGTAAATTAGAGATGTGAAAGGCTTCAATTTTGGGTTTTGAAGGGTAGAAGACAGAATTTTTTTCTGAGCTTGCCTTCAGCAGCTTTGGACTTCATTTGACCCTGAAGATGAATACAAGCATACATGAAATATGACAAATACTTCACCTAGTGTTGGTTTAGTGCTTATCGGCTGTCTGTCATTCCTGGCGTTGTTTACCTTCTTGTGCCAGATATGACTGAATTGACTCAAATTCCCGTGACTGTGTACTCACACTGTGGAATTTACTGTATGTGGGTTGTCTTCATCCTCTTTTGACTCCATGTTGATACTATTTATGGTATGTAGGAAGTTTTGACTCATTGTCACTAAGGCAGTGACTTCAGGGCCATATGTGCAGATCGCCACAGCATGAAAACCACCTGCTTCGTATTGCTTCGGTCCCACTCCTGGGATTCTTGTTGGACTATGGTTGTTCTGATGCTCTAGCAGATTGAGATTTAGGGATTTGGGAGGCTATGTCAATGCTTTGGGCTCTTGGTTGTGTTCCTCGAGCCATTCCTGAGCATAGGTGTGGCTGAGCACATTGTCCTGCTGGGGGAGGCCTCTGCCATGTGGAAGTGCTGTTGCTATAGGGGGGATGTGTTTAGTGTGGAATAGGGATCTGAATTTAAATAATTGTCTTCACCAAAGGTTGGCAGGTTTATTACTCAGTAGTCAATCAATGGTTATAAGAAATGCGGATAGAGCTATTTTTATGACAACAGACACTTGACATTCACCTAAAAGCAATGTAGGTACATTAGCCACTCATTATAGAAGCACTGTCTTAATAAACTCCAGCATGCCCTTATCACTGAACACCACCCATAAACCATTAACCGCCACAGAAGACTTTGTCATGGTGGCTTGCTACTGTCGCCCAAATGGCCACCTTCTGTAGTCTTCCATCTCATTAAACTGCAAGAAGCTCCACCTTACAGCTAATTTATAGTACATTTTCTAACATCAGTACCTCCAATATTGTGGCTGATTGGTATGTAATTTAAACTAGGCTAATTTACACTGCGCCTTCTCGCAATTTAACAGACGTATGATTGTATTTTAAAGCAAACGTGCATGCAGTATGGATAGACGGACATCGGTTGCATAGCAATGGATACCAGGCAGCTATTAGGGAAAGCTCTGAGTGCAGCATTGCTATTAAAGCCCATTTGCTGTGTGCTTCTCGGCTTGATGTCCATTTGTTCAAAAGTGCTCATTAGTAATGATATGGTAGAGCAGAAAACAGTGAGGTCACCAAGCACTACATGCTAGTTTACACTCCTCTCAGTTCAGCTCTGTTGGTCTCTACAAGACCAAACAACACTTGGATTACAGATTGATAGATAAAAATATCTATTCTGGATAGCTGGAAGATGGATCGTTGGTGTACTTATTTATTTACTTGTAGTTTTCTTGTATTGGCTAGTCATTATCAAACGTTTAACTGCCAGCTAGGCTTTGAATCCAGATGTCAGCTTGTCGAGCCTTTGGGTTTTCAGGTGGCTACCTGATATTTAAGAATGATTGAAAGCATGTGAGTTGGTATGAAAATGTGAGATTTGCTGCAGAATGGGGCGTTTCGGTGGTCGACCACATAATCACAACATCCCCT